CTTCAAACTTCACAACAGTATAGCACAGTGGTGCATGCCTTGAATCTATGAAATGCTGTGCAGTATTTCTGGTGAGAGTGAAGTTCAGATGTTTTGAGCCATGCTGTCACACCTCCAAGCTTAAACCTACTGCCTCTTTCAATTATTACGAAATGTGTCGTCAAAGTTTTGAGCAACTTCTTTTTAAAGGGAAATGAGCTATTCTTCTCTGTCTTTCACACGTCTGGATTTCAACATGACAAATCCTTCATTTCAGCTTTGGCTTTTATTGATGTTACGTCTCTTATGTTTGCAACAGTCCTACAGAAATGTAGTACCCTGAAAAACAGCCTGTGATTCAGTAGCTTATAGAACCACTTTAAGCAGCAATAACTTAAGACTGGTTTATTTGCTTATGAGCCTCAGTCTCTCACATTGATGTGAAGGGATTTTGGCTCACTCTTCTTTACCAAGTTTCTCCATTTCATTGAGATTTGCAGGGAATTGTTTATGCACAGCTCCCTCGGGTCTTTCCACACACATTTAACACGGGTTGAGGTCTGGACTTTGAGTGGACTGCAACACCTTGTTTCAGATTTATTCCTGAGGATTGTTGTCCTGTCGCACGTCTCAAATGTGGCCCAAGCTTTATCGATCAGACAGATGCATACATTTGAATCAAGAATGCTTTGGTATACAGAGGAATTCATGGTCAACTCGTGGTGCTGTGGCTGCAAAACAAACCCAAATCTTCACCCCTCCAACAATATGCTTGACAGTTGGTATGAGGTGTTTGTGCTGATACGCTGTGTTTGTTGTCTCCAAATGCAGCGCTGTGCATTATGGCCAAACATCTGTACTTTTTCCAAACTTAAGCAATGCTACCACGTTGCTTGTAGTGTGAAGAGCCTTTCTCCTGCCTGCTCATCCAAAAAAGTCATACTTGTTCAGCCTGTTTTTGATTCTATCGTCATGAACTTTAACATTTAACATGCTAACTGAGGCCTGGAGATTCTGAAGATATTGGATTGTTTGCAGGTTCTAAAGATTTTCTGCAGTCTGAGCATTGCTTCTCTGACCTTCAGGCGAATCTGATGGGAAGATCATGGTTTTAATGCAAAATACAAACTTCTGCTTTCATGGAATTTTTCACACTTGTGGTTGATGAATTATTCAAGTGCACTTCATTAGCAGCACTTGGCTGTTACTTACCCTCTTAATTCCTTTGGAAGTGGTAATGGTGTACTTAGTTTTTCACAGGACAGCATAAAGTTCTGTGATAGCATGACTGTATTTTTTTCCAGCAAGAAAATATTTTTAATTCATGTATAATTTTTTTAATTGAACGTACTATCTAAGCCTTTTGCAGATTCAGCATACCCCAACTGAGATTTATGATTTTGTGGCAGGATGATGGCAGTCAATTTTGAACATAATGGGTTTTTTAAATAATTTTTTCATGCCTTTTTATCTTAATATAAGACAATCCACATGTTCTGTTTATTTGTTTGGGTAAACCTGCAGTCAACTGAGACTGAAAAAGTCACTTGGATAAGTGACGAAACATGAAAAGAACGCATGAAGAGAATCAACTTTTTGGGATTTTCTTACCTGGATAATCGAGTATGCATCAACACATCCTTACTGTACGTTTCCTGTGACTGCCACAACATGTAAACATTCAACCCCAATACTGTGGTTTAAAATTTGCATGGCTTGAATACACCCTGACAAAAGAGTCTTCTTCCTCTCCAGTTTTGTAAATGAACAGAGGGAAATCTGGCTTCACAAATACAGAGGAGAGTGACTCGAGAACACAAGAATGAGCACGTCATTCTTTCCTTATCACTACAGTGACATATTTTTCCACAATATCGGATTATAGCCAAAATGAGTTTTAACAGAGAGAATAGATATGAACGCCATGAAGAAGGAATCCATGTGGGCGTGACTCACCAGCCACAACACCTGAGACAAAAGTACATAATGGGACTTTTTGGGTGATAACAGAGTCCAGCTTGACAAAACAGACATTGGAACCTGGTTCAAGTGCCTAAAACAACAATTTGCACAAAGACTGGTAAATACATGCATGATAATTTAGCGTTTTCTGCTTTGTTTTTCTGTTCCTTATTTTAAGTCTTTGCTGTTTCTTGTACTTAGTTACCTATTTATATACTTGTTATCAATTATACAATCATTGATTACATAGTTGCACTGAAAGTTTATCTTCTTCTTCGTCTTATCTTCTGCTTCATCCTGTGGTGGAACATATTGTTACAAGAATAACTTTAGCCTTTATGCACTTCCTATTTCTTCCTGTGTCATCTTTGGGTTATAGCGATGACAAAGCTACACATCAGCATATTTTTTAAAACAATACTTTTCACATGAAACACACATAAGTTGACTTGTAATCAGCCAATGAAAACCAGGTTCACTGTCTCAATATGTGGAACTAGGGACAAAAAGAAGTGAGAGCCACTGGTCACTTTGGAGCTTTGCCAAATTTATATCCAAACTTCGACACACTCAGTGGGAGGCATCTTATCTTTTATGATGACAACCTGGTGCTGAGCAGGACACAGCAATGTTTACAATGGCACAATAGAATTAACCAATAAACCTCATAGAAGTTCAAACAAAAATGATAAGAAGTGACACCTCCAGTCATGTCCTGTCACTCTTTTTAGTACAGACCAAACACCCGCCATTGAACTCAGTGAGCTGCAAACACACTCAAAGGTGCTGGACTATGGCAAGTTCTCTGATTGAAGCCCTTATAATGTTAGAATTTTCCTCCTGGGAATTAACCTGTTGCTTAAACATGGTTACCTGCAGTTAAACATTCACTGCTGTGAACAAGCTTTTGCCCCTTTTGTGATTTTTTTTTTCCAGATTTGTCACATTCACATGTTTCAGCTCATCCAGCTAATTATAGTATTACACAAAGTTAGCCTGGGTAAATGCAAAATGAAACCTAATAACTGGTTTTGCCACCCTTGTCATTCCTGCCAAGGGTGGCAAAACCAGAACTGCAATTAAGTGCAAGTAACTGGCAGTGACACTTTCATTGTGGAGGAGTTTTGACCCATTTCCATGCTGGTAGACTTTCAAGCATGAACAGCTTATTTATTGTCATGCAAAATCGTGGTCAGCAGTAATTTTTTTACTTGAACTTTCCCATGGATGCCATTTTTTTGCCTCTTTCTTGTTGTTAAATCGTGAACTCTGACCTTAAATGGGGAAAGTGAGGCCTACAGTTCTTTGGATGTGGTTCTGGGTTCTTTTGCAGCCTCCGGGATGAGGCATTTTGGTAAGCTGGCCACTCCTTGTCATGTCCACCACTGTCCCAGGTTTTCTTAATTTGTGGATAATGGCTCTCAGTGTTGCTTAATTGAGTCCCAAAGCCTCCTTAATTTTATCAGACAAGTTCTATTTACGTGTGTTCTTATAGTTTTCTCCCTTAATAAACGAAATCATTGACAATTAAAAACTGTATTTACTCTGGTTAATTTTGTCAACTATTACTTCTTGCAAGCTTTTTAATTCAATTGAATTTGACCATTGGATAGCAATTTGAATTCATTTACATTTAATTTATATGGCACCAAATCACAACAGCAGTTGCCTCAAGGTGCTTTGTATTATAAATTAAAGGCCCTAAAATAATACAGAGAAAACAGAGAAAACCCCAATGATCAGATGACCACCTATAAGCAAGCACTTGGTGACAGTGAGAAGAAAAACACGCCGTTTAACAGGAAGAACCGTGCTGCAGAACCTGGCTAAGGAAGAGGCGGCCATATGCCATGACCGGATGGGAGTGAGGTGTGAAAAACAAGACAAAAGACGCACTGTGGAAGAGAGCCAGAGATGAATAATAATGATGATGAAATGCAGAGAGGTGTATAAACATGTAGTAAGTGAGGAAAAAAAAGATGAGCTAAGCATAACTAGAGAAGGATGGTCACCTGATCCTAACCTAACTATAAGCTTACTCAAAAAAGAAAGTTTTAAGCCTAATCTTAAAAGTAGAGATGGTTTCTGTCTCCTGAATCTAGACTGGGAGCTGATTCCAAAGAAGAGGGGCCTGAAAGCTGAAGGCTCTGCCTCCCATTCGACTTTTAAATACTCTAGGAACAACAAGTAAGCCCTCAGTCTGAGAGCAAAGTGCTCTACTGGTGTGACATGATACCATGAGGTCATTAAGATAAGACAGGACCTGATGATTATTCAAGACCTTGTATGTGAGGAGCAGGATTTTATATTTGATAGTGGATTTAACAGGGTGCTAATGAAGAGAAGCCAATATAAGAGAAACATGCTCTCTCTTTCTAGACATTGTCACTAATCTTGCTACAGCATTTTGGATTAACTGAAGGCTTTTCTAGGAGTTTTTAGAAAAAATAGTAATAATGAATTGCGTTATGCAAGAGAGCTAAATGCTATATAACCCTGTGGAACTCCATAATCAACCTGTGTGCATGGAGAAGACTGCCCGTTTACATGAACAAATTGGAGTCTATTAGACAGATGTAATTCAAACCACTCAAATGCAGTACCTTTAATACCTACAGCATGTACTAATCGCTGTAATAAAATATTATTGATGATGAGCTCTGAAACCTCTGCAGATGATCAGTTTTAAAACCACTCTTTCAAGATTTTATGAGTAAAAAGAAAGGTTGGATATTGCTCTGCAAGTAGAGATGGCTTTTTAAGCAATGGTTAATAAAGAAAGGTTTATCATTTTTAATTAATGGTAGGACCTGCCTTGTAGGAAAAGGTAGTGTAAGGTAAATGTGATAAATATGCAAATATGAAAAAATCACGATGGTTTTCACAGCACTGCAACTGCTTTATTTTTTAGGTGATTTTAAAACATCCACTGAAAGCAACAGCGTTGTAACGTCTGTTTAAGAAACCAGACACGTGATGCCGGCTAAAGGCGCGAGACGTTAGCTGTCGCTGGAGTCGTTCCCTTTGTTCGTGCAGGTGGCGTAAGACTCATTGCGCGTGCGTGGCAGTTATACGGCGTGTAAAGTGTGCAGCAGCTCGCCGCTCCGCTGCAGGTAGGTACGGGACAGATAAGCGGTGAATTCGAACCTAGCAGCACGGCGTTTCCTTAAACCTGCTATTTTACCGGCAACAGTCCGTTTCCCAGCTCTTTGTTATCACCGAGGAGCAGCACTTTGCCATGGCCGAGTGGCCAACTTGTTGATGTTGTCGCACTTGTTTCGTTTTTCATTCAGGGTAAGTTCAGTTTGTTTATAGTTTTATTGCTTTATTCAGCAGCTAGCGACTAAAGGAATGTTTTTTTAAAAAGTATTATTCCCACTGGGGAATTATCGCGATATGAATTTGACCTGCCGTGTATAACAATCAATTCTAGCTGCTGAGATATAGTAGCTTGTTACTACATTTGTGTAGTTTTGTTATTATTCGTCCAGGCGCACAGATGTCCCAGCAGGGGCTCCTGTGGTGCTAAAATAAGCAGCTGTAAGGAGTCACGAAGGCTGGTAGCTGTGTTATTTGTGGTGCTGGAGTAAGACATGTCCTGTGTCCTGCACCTCAAAGCCCCGGCGACTGGTGCAGTCAGTGCACTTATTAAGCTCGTCTGGTGTGATAACATCAGATCAGTTGTATCCCCTTTCCTGTTTCTCTTCATCATTTTAAATCAAATTCCTTAAAAAAAATACTCTCACGTTCTCTTACATTACGATAGTTAAATAAACAAGGACGTACGTGCCCTCGAGCAAGACGCTGTCATCATTATCCACTCATGTTGTATGCGTCCCAGGACTCTGATGATTTATGGGGAACAAACCAGGTGAGAATATTTGTTCAAGCATCTCTATGGAGTTTGTAGAAAATTATGAAGTTTAGGAGATCATACAGAATGAAGCCAAAAACGCACCATCCCAGTCTTGTGCCAAAAACTGATTTCCAGTGTTTATCTAATAGTCTGCACTCAACAGGATTTACAGGTGTTGCATATAAAACAAACAAAAAATACTTGTTTTGTAAGTATCTTTGTGACTCTACGTTATTGTATATGCTCTGTGTTCTACATTATAATCAATTCAGTCCTTTCAGCTACTTAAAATATATTTATATAACCGTTATGTTATATTTGTTGCAATTTCTGCTGCCCCTATTGGCCTGATCCCTTTTGAAAAAGAAATTTTTGATGTCAGTGAGAGTTTTACATTCATAAACAATGGAAATATAAAAGTTGATTTGCCAAAACTTGATGGCAGACAGTTTGGCTTAAAATGGCTTGATATCATTCACTAGAGATATGTTTGACAAAAGTTTATAGGCCAAAAAATCATTTATAACAGTTTAAATACTGACAGTCACTTTTGGCAAATACCAGAAATCACTTTTTGGTAGACCACACAACAACAGCTTTTACAAGTTCCCGTCCATTATGATACTGATGCTGTGGGCAGCTGCAGTGATCTGGCTCCAGTGGTAAATTAATATGCTTTATTTTTCACTGTGAGGAAGAGACCGGGAATTTGTGTAAGACTGCCGCTGCAGATGGCTGTCCTTCTCCTTTTTCCTCCTCTCTCTCGCGTGTGTGGCACTGACAGTGTCCTCTGTGGGGCATCTGTCAATCAAAACAGCCACACCTTTAATTCCAACATTCAAGCAGTTTAGGATAGTTTAAAAAATCACCCACTAGGAAAACTATCTACAGAGAGCAACACATTTTGAAAAAATCAGGCTGTAAATATGCTTGTCAATGATGTAACGTTACAAATTTTAACATGGAGTGCATTGGAACTGACTCCCTTTCAGTGCCAGGTTGTAGTAGCCATTAAAGGAAATACAGTTTTTGTTACTTTGGTATTTGCCTTAATTTTCAGCTCCAAAGGTTGCCCCTGGTGTCTTTATGGGTTACACTGAGTTGGACCATTTGATAGCAATTTAATTCAGTTTTATTGTTTAGCAGCAAATCACAACAACAGTCACGTCATTGTAAGGTAACAGACCTTACAGTAATACAGAGAAAACCCCAACTGTCATATGAGGTCCTATGAACAAACTCTTGGTGACAGTGGGAAGGAAAAACTCCCTTTTAACAGAAAGAAACCTAGAGCAGAACCAGGCTTCACAAAGCAACTGGAGCAAGATTAGGTGAGGAAGACAGGAGAAAAGACACATTATGAAAGACAGACAGAGATGAATAATAATTGGCCCCTAGCAGCCTAGGGATACTGTAGCTTAATTAATGGGGGGCCCAGGGTCACCTGATCCAACTCTAATTTTAAGCTTTATCAAAAATTACTAAGAACAATCTAGTGTTTGCTTGATTGTTTGCTATAGTTATGGTAAACAGATGGGTACTTATTTAGCTTTTCTACTCTAAGTGATTGCTTTTTACTGTTAGCCACGTTCAACCAGCTGTTTTTTGCTATGCCTTTTAAGCACCACACTCTGATGGATGCGTCAGGAGCAATTTGGGGTTCCCTATCATGCCTAAGAGTGCTGACTAGAGGCACCGGAGCACAAACTACTGACCCTGTGATTAATAAACAGCCTGCAATACATCATGTGCCCCAGGACAGACACCCTTAATAGTGACCTTTTTAAAAAAGGAATAGTATGTTCTCAGCAATCAGTTGTTTCTATAAATTTGTCGGCCATGCTGCAGGAGAGTACAACGTTTCAAGACCAAAGACTCATACTGCTATGTCAAAGCAACGTAAAAAGCTGTTTAAACATTCTTTAATAAATCTGCTGTTAACCATGATAACTTCAAAAACATCTTGTTGTAAATCGTATTCGAAGTAAGCAAAGCAAGTAAAAGATTATAAACGGTATGAAAAAACGATATAAAAAAACTGCAGATGTGAGGTTTATAACTTGTATTTGTTATGTCTCTCTAGAATGTGCATAACTGTGCTCGGATCCAGTAAAAACAAGTTGTCATATTGCTGACGTAATAACCAACAATCACTTAGACAGGCTATCTGCTTCAGTCGCCACAGGGCTTTGACATGGCTGCTGTGTTTTTAGTGGAGATTCCTTTCTGCTAGGCACTGTTTGAGCCTCTGTTTTGTCTGCCGGGTAGCAGATTAACATAACTCTGTGTTGGAGCCGCAGAGTTAGAGAAGCAGAAAACCTGGTAGACAGAAAATTTAGGGCTGAAGTTGTTTATCAAATGAAGTTAAGTGGCCCTCAGCATTATCTCACTGAATAAACAAGCACAAGCTTAATGGAAGCCATCATAAACATACCAGCCAAATTGGTGATTTAATGTGAATGTCTCAAAATAAATCGAATGTCTTTGTCCTGAGTAGGTTTTAAAAAGATTACCGCCAATGTTTCCAAAACTTGTTGTGCAATTCACAGCAATTGTCACAGATGCACTGGGTGATCGGTCAGTAAAGACTTTTTTTTGTTTCTGTTCTCTTTTTGTGCTTTACTGACTCTGCTTTCACCACATCTGCATTTCCATCTCCTCTGCAGCACAAACACATGACTTCAGCAACCACGGGGCACAGACTAATTGCTGCTTACCAGCCTGTTGAGCTTTTGCTAAGCTTCTTTTTTTTTTTTTTTGCCCAACACAAGTTGTGCACCAAGACGTTACAGCTACTGGAGCTCAAGATCAGTAAAAACATGTTATTCTCACAACATTAAATGTGACTAATAGCGGCTCAAGAACAAAAACATGCATCAGAAAAATATTTATGCATTTCTGGGGTACTTTTACATTATCAGTGAGTCATTATTATTATAACAATATATGTGCTGAAGGACAAAAGCAAGAGAGAAACTATTGTGAAATGTCGTTCAGCTTGCTTGCTGTTATTTTTTTCTTTGATTAGTTCAGCAGCTTGGCAAGGTTTGCCGTTGTGCTCATCAAAGCATTCAAACAGACAGAAGGAAGGTCCTGGGTTAAATCACCATTTAGAGCCTTTCTGTGTGGAGTTTGCCATGTTCTCTCTGTCTGTGTGGCTTTTTTCCTATTTGTTAAGGAGACGACTCTCTGATACTGTTTATCTGCTCTAAATAGTTTTTGTTCAGTTTCTGAGAATCACCTTGTTGGTACAAAAGATACAATTTTCTAAAGAAATTGGAACCAATGACACACCTTTGTGGCAGTCTGCTCATAACAAAGTGCCTAAAAAGGGCTAAGTTGTCTGTTTTGCATAGACACAACACTGGTTGATCCATTGAGTTATGCAAATTTTTTATGCTTGAAAGACTCACAGATCAGTGTTATGTAGCTAATGACCAAAAACATTCCTTTGATACTGGTCAGGTACAAGGATGGACTGGAAATGAGTAAAAAAAGCAGCAAGCGTCGGAAAGTCTGTTGTAAAGAAAGCGGTGGTGCAAGACTTTTGGACTGTTCTGCAATTGATGAGTGTGGCATGTAAGCCCCTCACCCTAAACAGAAGTCAATTTTAACACGTTTTGCTCTCGTAAGTCAATTAAGTAAGAGTGATGATTCAGATTAATCATAGAAGAAAGAATTTTGGTGTTTCAAAATTTTAGTTTCAGTGACCAGTGCCCTACTGTCCTGGCACTACATTTATTTCATCAGACCTCTTTTGTGCACCAAAGAGCTGACACACAGTAAAGTTGTAGGAAATATTGTATGACCTTCTCTCTGTATATCTAATGACATACTTACAACAACAACATCGTTAGCCTGTTTTTGATTGCAAGATACGGCAAATTATGAGAATGCCATCTGTTATCAGCTGCAGTCTTGTCCACTTCATTAGTGAAAAATGTGGTATAATGCTTTGGTTAACTTTGGCCAGAAGGGGACTTTCTACACAAGCCTTGCAGTAATATCTTTGTTTGCACTACTGAATGTTTAAATGATTTGTATAGTTATGTCACATGCAACAAGAAACGCTTTTATTATCTTTGTGACCATATGGCAAGTAGTGCGGTTTTGATGGAACACCAGCTTTGCTTATCACCCGTCCTCTTTATGGTGCAGCTGATTAGTTTAAAGCGTCTCCTGTCTCCTGTCTTCATGCACCGTATTAGCAGCGATAATTATCGCAGTCTGTTTTTTTCTAATCCACAATAGAGGGCTGTGACCTGAATGTTGATCACACTGATATGTGGAAGGTTTGTGTGTTTCTGTGTCATGCTATTAGTTTGTACAGTTGATTATTGTACTCCTACTGCGCTCCTGAATTTACTCTGTTTTGTTTACTGTAGATTTGCTCCTGATTGCTAGGTAGGGCTGCAGTGTGCGTCTGCAGACGTGATTG